CTCCCCTATAGACTATATGATACCAAAATTAAAGATGAATGTACTTCTAGAATGATCATCATCCCAAATGAGGACTCATTAAAATGGTACCTGCCACAAAGATTGCCATATTTTGAGACCACTTTCGAGGCGTATATGTGATTCGATGTCATCTTCAGTGATAACATCAACTAACGGTGCTATCAGATAAACGAATAGCTGAATGCTATTCACTGAAAATGTGTACTCGCGAACCGAATGCACATTCACTTCACCAGTCTCTGTTACACTCTGAAATTCATTCGATACCATATCACATGAAGCTGAAAAAAAGATCCAATAGGAAGAGTATCGGCACGAACCTTTCCACTGTCCGAATCACAGCATTCATTCGCCGAATCGAGAAGGAGCCAGTGTAGAATGTAGAGTATCTTGGTAAGCAATCCACTTATCGGAGTGCCAGCCTCTCTCACTCCAGCCTCTGCTATCAGTGACGCACAGCACTGAAACAAGACGTTTTTTTTTNTTTTTTTTTAAATGTTTCGTCAAAGATTCTCACTCTACCGGCCATTTTGTCTTGAATTCTTCAGGAACTCAGAATTTAAACTAACCAACTGAAAAAATATTCAGATTTTTAAAACTAATTTCAGTCAAATTAGAGGTAAACGATGATATAGTTGAAGTGTTGTGTTAGGAAAATGCCCTTATATATTCCATCAAACTGACATTGAACTTGCATTGCTGAGTTGATGGTAATTTCTTGTTGAATAAATTTCAGATTAAACGTGTGATATCAACGCATAAAATGTGCTGTTTGAACTTAATCTGGTAGCAGTTTCACATGATTGCACGATATTTAACAACCTGAACGATGTGTGGGAAAGCGGCTCGAACGAATCGCCATCGTGAAACGGAGCCGATCGCGTCCGAAAGTGATGGACTGAGGCCGTGGAGAATATTCTGCACAACCACCCTTTCGAATGTCTGAAATTACTGACTTGTAGGCTAGACGGCATGATATTCATTTCGTATTCCAATTGTACATTCAGAAAACATTTGGCATTTGCAAGGCATTTTGCTTGTTTTCACACTAACGAATTTGACTCTTAAACATTGAGTGTGACATGTTCAGGAAATAAATGCATAATTTTGGATTTGATCCATTAGTTTATCACTTTAAGATTCCTGAATTGATTAAGATCTGGCTGAACTATCAGAATAACATGTATTTTGTTGAGTGAACATCGGTCATTCCGACGAGATTTCTCGAATTTTCCTCAGATGATATGCGATATCATATGATATATCATATGAAATTCGCTAACACATGAATTCATATCTGGGAGAGTCAAGTAAATTTCAAAAATCAGTTGAGTACTCTAAGGAATGGCTCGTTGTGCTCAGCTGTGCTTATGGATGATATGAAGGCTTGCATAATCAACAGCTCTCATGAATATTCATGTTGAATCCACTTGGTGCAACGGCATCATGTATTCCCTCTTTTGACAACATGGCCACTCCAATATTGAAGCGAATTGAGTTAAAAAGACAAGTATTTTGACGCTCAAACATGTGTTAGTGTTCAGAGTGAAAGCAATTTTCTTTACGATGGCCTCATGATGAATTCGGTTTGTTTTCGAAATTGTTCAATGCTAAGAGTTGATCAAAGAATGTTCCAAGTTAGCAGATTGCTTGAGGAAATGCTTGAATGGAACTACCGGAAACGTGCTAGTAAATTAAAACTTTTAGTGGAGATACTCAAGATTTCATATGAAGACTTCAAGATCATTTCGAAAAATATGGCACTTTTANTTCCCTTTTGCTAATTAGTATTTCCTCTGCTGTCTATTAAGTTTTCATAAACTTAATAGACAGCAGAGGAGATACTAGTTTTCCGATAAAGTTTTCCATTTTTTTTGTAAAGTTTCCCGATTTCATAAACTTAATAGACAGAAATACATACACATAAAAGTTTCCCATCGATACAAGCTGCTTTTCCTTTCACAGATACTTTGATCTTCTTGCGATCAAAGTCAGTAGCATCGTTCTTTTTGCTTGAATTAAATCAACGAATAGTCAGAAAAAAATAGTCGCTTCATCGTCAAGGAATAACTAGAACATACATGCAGGAATACTAGAATGCATGATTCCTTATCACGAAAATAATTACGAATGTAAGAAAAAGGAAGGTATTACCCATCTTTGTTGAACGCATACAATGGTGAAATGAATCTAACACGATCAACTATTAATGAGATCGTAATTGTTAAAGTAATGGTAAGCTGCTTTATTAAATGAATTCTATTTTTTCATTTTTACGAAAACAAGCAAAAAATCACTTACCACACAAGATGCTTCATGAAGTTTACCAATTTTAGCACCAAGAAACGGGCTGAAATTGAGATAGTGTTTTCGAGGAGAAGTACTGAGAACTATCTTTAAAAATCAGTTGTTGATTGAGATGGATAGCTAAACAGCACTTCAGTGAGCTCTGAGTATTGCTGGGAGACGGTAATCGGCCTAAGAGTTTTTTGAAATTCTATTTTGAAATTACTGTGAGATCACAGATTGAGGCTGTTTTGTGAGGGCGTAAAGTGAACAAGAGATTCATTTATGAACACATATTTATTCATGCATATTCATGAAGCAGTACATGAAAATAAGGGGAAATCAAGCAG